TCGATTTAGCGGATCTCTCGATTTAACGGATAAATTTTCTGGAAAAAAATATCCGTTAAATCGAGACTCACTGTGTATTATTGAAATCAAAACATGGGGTAGATCTTGCTGGGTAATTATAAGATTCTCATCAAAGATGGTAAATGATTGATATTTTGCTTTTTGTAATCATAATCAATTATATTTATTAGAAGATAATGCAAAGGCAGCATGACTGAATTTGAATATGTGATGTTTGATTATCAGAAATTAGCAAGTGTTGAAGCACGCACGCTACCTTGAACACTTTACAGTCATTCTTTCATCTTCCTTGTGTACAAAAGGCTAATCTGACAATGCGCTCCCAATGATACAATGATGCAACAGAATTCCAGGGGGGGGACGCATGGCTCTGGAGCTGAATCAAAGCTGCATCAATTGTCAAGGATATCCTAATCTTGTCTAATCTTCCCTAATAGCATCTAACCTGGCATTACCTGAGGGGAAGATTAGGGAAATTTTTGCCCACCTTGAAAAAGCCTTCTAATGTGTCGACAATTTTTTCATCTGTGGGAGAAAAAATTCCATGGATATGAAAGACTTGCAATTGCGCATTTGTGATGGGAAATTTTTTATTAAATCTGACACCTGTGATCATCATCATCAGATTTATTATTCATTTTTAAAGAATTATGCAATGAAGGAAAAAAATAAATTTTTGATCACCCCAACAACCAAGTCAAACCTGGTCCAAGAGAGGGTAGATTTATTTATTTATTCTTTGTGAATCCCAAGGATCTGGATAGACACTTATTATTTTTTTAAATTGGGTTCCTTAAAAAATTATTTCTGCATGGCCTTGGTATTATTTATTACTTGGGTGATGCAATTGTTTGATATGTCAATGATAATATTCCAGCTTAACTTCCACTTGGAGTGGATGTAGCAGGTATGCACAAGTTGTTTGGACAAAACTGGAGATCTATTTTTATCATGTATAATGGATTATTTCTCAATATCCAACTTGACCTCTTAGAACCACTCATTGCTTTTCTTCAAAATATGAGCAGCAGCAGAAGGCATAT